TATGATGTGGCTCAAGGATGCAGAGTGGGATGGACACGTGATTTTATGATAGCTTAGACTGCTTGGAACGTATTAACTTTTAGAGTCAACATAGACAAGGATAAAAGAAGAAAGTTCCTGTGATCGGCATTACAATCCATTACTTTGCTGCCTTTGAGTTTCTTTACTTTTTCTAGTAACAAAATTTTTGCCTTGCCTTGTTTGGCTCTGGAATGTTGGTCTTGCTCACAGCCCTGCGATGAAGTTCCCAGTTCCAGTGTCTATCTCCGTTCAAATCTTGAGTCTATATTTTGCTTTACTGTTTATGTTTTCTTATTCTACTTCCAGGCTTAAACTCTGTCAAGTTCACCTTCAGCCTAATACAGTTGTAATACTTTCTAAATTAAGTGCTAGCAGTTCCCAAAATACAAACACCAAATTTATGAATGTCACTTACATTAAAAAGGCTGTCCCTTCTTGCTTCTGGGTGGCATCATCAGAGCTGTGGAAGGAAATTCTCTCTTCTCCATGAGGTTTTGGTAGGAGCATTCACATCCATCTTCTCAGTGGGAACTAATTTCCCATAGAAACCATTGCACGTGGTGGTCTAGCTCCCAGACCAGCCCACAAAAGCCACTTAATTCATAACGTAGCTGAAAGAGTTAAAAAAAAAAACCACAGCTAATAAAAAACATTTTTGCTAATGTGTAGTATTTAATTTTCATTAGGGGTTAAATTACAATGTTTCTATGGGAAAATGTTTGCTGCAGTTTCCAAAAACTAATTTACAAACAAACTCTTGGAAGAAAAATCTGATCTAAATTTAGAACTTCCTAGATTAGCTCTACTTTTCAGCACATATTTTTCCTTTTGTTTGCACAAGTTGTCTGGGGACGGGTTTACTGAGGCTGTCTCTGCAGGCAAAATCAAGCCATGAGGGGGGCACCTGTCTGGTGTAAGTGCCCCAGGTGTACAGAAGCTGAGGGAAAGGAGCTTCTGTAGCAAAAAAAAAGAGAGAGAGTTTTGGCTTTAACTTGAACTGATTCTTCTGGATTACTGTTAAAATGCTATCATCACTCTTCCTGTGTAGAACAAACATCAGATAGACTTTGAAAGTAGTTTCTCCCCTTCTACCTTCTCCATCATACAATCTGTGGTGAATATGAGTCTTCCTTAAGAAAACACACACACACTCACACACGCACACACACCCCCCAAAGAAAAAACCCCCAACTAAATAGTACAAAACCCAAACTTCCAGATTGGTACATCAGGGAGTGGTTCTCCACAATTAAGGCACCTGGAGTTACCCAGAACCCTTTGCTCTTGCAGCCTTCCTGCAGCAGCCAGGTTGTTCATATGAAAACGTGGGTTTGGGGCCTCTTTTCTGGTGTTCACCTGAAGGACACCTGAGTCTAATTAATCATAAATGAAAAGGCATCCTTGTGAATGTTACTCTCAGGACATGAGCCTGGCTTCTGGGCCAGGTGCTCTGGGGGTCCTTGCTCTCTGTGCCAAATCACTACAATAGACAAGGTGTGCCTTACACTGACACTGTAGATCTTTTGTTCATGAGGCTTGTTAAGTGGCATTTTATTTAAGCAATAATGACTGGTAGAGAGGGCATTTCCTGATACTTAATGACCAAGTGGAGGTATTGTGGGCCTGAGGCAATGCATATAATATGCTATTAAACTCTGAAATTTAAAAATGTAAAGAAAAAATAATTACCTTCTTATGCATGTTACCATGGATACTGAGTGTTGTTTATAGATTTAGTCTTTTCCTAGAGGTTAAAGTCCAGTTGAGCACCCAATAGGAAAGGAGAACTTCAGTCTCAATTTCCACTCACTTTAGAATGTTTGACATTACCTAGTTAGTGTATGTCTCTTTAAGAAGGTGCACGTCACCCCTGAAATAGGATATGTAACATGTGATATGGATTGCCATAATAAGTATTCATATTTTATTGAACAGTTTGGCAATCAGTATTTAAAATCAGCTAACCTTGTAGATAATCACGTTCTGTTTCCCTGGAGTGGCAGTAACTTTCATACCATTCTTTTTCCCCCCAAAGAATGAGCCATTTTTCAGTCTCCAAATTGCATGCACATATTTTATGCATTAGTCCCAGAAACACTTTTCCAGTTGGATGTATTATTACAGTGCATAACTCAGAGATTAACATTTAAGCATGAAGGAGAAAATACTCAGAGAAGCACCTAATTCTCCATAATTTATATGGTAGCTATTTGCTGTACACTTTTTAAAACCTTGGAACACTTTTTCTTTTCTAACTCTTAGGGAAAGATAGGGCATAATTAAATCAATTTCATGACACTGCAGAAGTGCTGGCCCAAATTAATACAACTAACTCGTCATCTAGTCCAGGGATAAAAGAACACTGAGGAAAATTTAAAGACTTAATTTCACCTGCAGCACCAAACTTTCTCCCACAAATATTTTTTCCATAGTTACCAGCAAGATTTATCTGCCTTTATTTTTTTATTCTATTATAATCAAAGAGTAATATAACAAGCCTTTAACCAATACTTAATACAGAAATACCATTCAATTATTCATTTATTTTTCTAATAGGTGTTTTTAAAGTGTACTGAGCTCTATCATGAGCCAGAGCTCAGAAGCATGGGGATGAAAAGGCCAAGCTCCCCACCCTTAAAGAAGTCTATCTGCTAAGGAGTCAGGCATGTAACAGAGATTACAGTTCTTTGCTGGAGGTGCTAAACTAGAGGTATAACAAGATGCATTGGGAGCACAAAGAAAGGTGACAGCAACTCTCCTGGGAATTCAGAATGGTTTCTTAGAGAAGGAGACATTTACTTAAGATGTAAACTGTAAAGCTCTAGATACAATTATAAAGCTATTCTTATTTTGTTTCCTTAACTATTCTTCTCTAGGAATACAAAGATGGAAGAATTCCTAAAAAGAATACAAGTCAGCTGGTAGTCAACTAAAGAAAATAAAAATGAGAGTGGTTACAAAGCTCATTTTAATACATCTCCCCTCCAGATTTCCTCCCAAATATTGCAATCTATAAACAGTGCTACATTTACATAGAGAACTATGTCTTGACACGGGGACATTAGGAGTCCCTGAGAAAAGGAGGTAGATACCCCTACTGTGTTGATTTCCACACTGACACGCTGTTAAGCCCTACATTTCTTGTCTTTATAAAAGTACATGAGGAAAATCCTGACACCTTCCTTTGAGTGATTTTTATCTGTACACATCCAAATCATGCTCATGCCAGTGTGATTTATCTAGATCCTTAGCATTACACTGGATAAGCCAAAAACCCAAGTTCTGAGTAGGAGGGAAATAAAGGGATCGAAGAGAATTCATTAGGGAGGTTTGCCTAGACCCTTGAGTTTGAGCAAGACCTTTCAGGATGTAATGAACATATATTCACAGAGAAAGGCTAGCATGGACGAAAACAGCCAGACAGTACCCAGCCAGTCCTCGGGGATTACAGAAAGCAGATTAGCTTCCCTGGAACAGAAGGGCCGGCTGGCTGGGGAGTAAGAAGAACTTAGATTGAAAAGATAAGGACAGGGTGGGGAGCAGATGGTAAATGGCCCCATCGTTAGCTGGAGGAGAGTAGATGGATTGGTAAATTCCTACTGTCCTCTGGACTCTGCACAGACATTGTCTGTGGATTGCTTTCCCTGATCTCCATCCCCACCCCAAGTGCCCCTGGCCTCATAGCACTTAAAAATGTTATAGGAGAAGCAGCCCAGGGCATAGATGGTCCACCAATGGCTTATCAGAGCCGAAAATGACAAAGTTATCTATACTGGAATAGTTTACCATTAGGTTAAACAGCAGCCTTTTCAATGGAAAAATCCAGGTGAAAGTGCAAATATTTTTTAAAGGAAGAGGAAGAATACTACAACAAGTATTCTGACATCGAAATGCATATTGATGAGGCAAACAGGAGGGCTGGGCTCAATATTCTCATAGACCAACCCCCACTGGTGCGGCTAAATCAATTGTGAAGGATGTCTGAGGAAGGTGGCCTAACCTAATCGAGAAAACACATGGGCCCAGATAAAGCGAGCACTGACTCAGGCTCTGACAGAGCCTGGCCTAAATCACTTGCCCTGATTGCTTCATTCTCCTCGCCTCTCCGTGCCATGTCCCTCCACTGCTCCCAGCCCCTGCGGCCCTCATTACAGAAGGAGAATGATGTTCCTGTGCTCTACCTTCAAAGTTGGGAGAAATAAGGGGATTTGTTCTTGCAACCCTTTTAACCAGAGACTATTAGAGCTAACCGGATATCCAAACCATGAAGGGCAGAGCAGGGGATAGTGGAAAGGTGGGGAAGAAAAAGGGGAGGCATAGCCCACCTGGCGCCATGTGCAATGGCAATATAACACGATGAATTAGCCCATATGCCCCTTTCAGTTAAAGATATGAGAAGTTTGATATCAAGTGGAAAACCTAGTTCACTTGCCTAAGAAGGATCATCTGAAAAGGGAAGAAAGTTCTCAATCCTTTACTCAAGTCAAACGAAGAGGCGTGCATGCCCAACCTCCATGTAGCCTTTGTCAGAATTTGCCTGTGAACATGGCCACTCAGGCTCATTACATGATGAGTGTCAGCAAATGATCAAGTGTGTATATATCTTTGCACTTGTCCCTTAATGATACTCAGTATATACTGTCCAGAAGAATTTGCAGCATAGTGTGAAGGCTTATCCTATTAAGTGTAGAGTGCTAAATTGTGCAAACTGGTTGAAGAGGCTTTCTGAACTACTTCCTCAGACCAATAAATTTGGGTCATGACAGAACGCAGAAGAACCACCTTGTTCTTTTCCCAAAGTCTCCTGAGATGGAACTTTCTTGCTGATGAGACAAGACTTGAACTTGAAATGGCAAGGAAGAAACACTTGCTTTGCTAATTTGTCGAGGCATCTGAGCAAACAGACGGCAGCTGGGGACATGACGATTCCACTTTCCTGATCTGCCCTGAGCTCCCCAAATCCTCCACAGAGCTTATAGAGCTGCTATTGGATGAATATGAAAAGAATCAATTCAAGAAAAGATTCATCGTGTTTGACAAAAATGAATCATGTTTTTAAGTTCCTACAGTTGCCCATGGAATGCAAACCTCAGTATATATCTGAATTATTAAACATTTGCTTTAACAGTGTGGTTCAGTTTCAAGAATTGATTAGGCTGAAAAAAAAAAGCCATGCAAAGAAGGCACAAACCCTTAGGGTTCTAGAAATGAATATATGAATCCACAAATTGTCCTAAAGCTTCCGATTGTGTATCAAAACTCAGAGAAACGTCTGCATCGACTGGGATCTGTGGAAATGCATTCTTTTTTATGAAGTGGCTAAAATTTAAACTTAGAATTTAAATCAGGATTGGAACTACTGGCATCTGAAGTGAGACGTGCCCAAACCAAATCTATTTAGGAATTCTCAAAAAAGAGCTCACTTTGCTATATGAGTATATACACATAATTGATCAATATCAATTGGCAACTATAGTAGCAAGAGGCTCATAATTATGGTTTGGCATAAATAAAATTGACTACTTTTTATAATCAAAGTACATATTTTCATTTGTAGGTCTCACCAGCCTATGAATACAAATCGTCTCACCTAGTGGTAACCTCAGTTTTA